AAAAGGATATTTGAAAAATACTGTACTCCTGGGGCCCTCCCTCTAGGACAGGAGCAAAATAGCAAAAAAAAAAAGAGAAAACCCTGAGCTGGAAATTCGGTAATATGAGGAAACGGTGTATAATCTACCTCCGGATTAAAGTTCTCTGGGAGGAGGGCAGGTATTCTTAATTCATATTTTTCAAGTGTTTTGTTTTTTTTTTCCCCTCTCCCTCCCAGGAGCAGGTTTGAATTCATCTAGCTGGAAGGTGGTGGAGGCGCAGCGGGGAGAATCCTGGGGATTTCTAGAACCTTCTAGCAACTTCTCCAGCTAGCTCACACAGAACTGTCGCCAATGACGAGTTGCCCTAATGCCGTCGGCAGAGCCACGGGGCTCTTGCAGTCTCCCCTGGAGTCCTCATACCACAGACACGGCCTCCAGCCACCGCCCGCCGGCCAGTCCCTGGGGAAAGGGCTTGGACGGCGCGTGAAGAGGAAGCAACTTTTGTTTTGCACCACAGAGAGTGGAGGCTTCGGCCTAAATGTTTCAAGAAATTAATTCCTTAAAAGGAGTCCTAAAGTCCTCATAAATATAACAAGATCCTTGATTCGAAGATTTAAAATGAAAGTCTTCCTTCTCTTCACGCGGTTAACTCACACTTCGGTGTTTGCTCTGTCAGCGATAGGGGTGGGAATGCTCTCGATGGGGCGCTGTTTTTTTTTGTTGTTTTTTGTTTTGTTACCTGACAGCTGTTACACAACGGCGTTTATACGCCCGATAACATTTACTGAGCATTTCCTAAGTGTCTCTCAGTCCTCGACTGGAAACTGAGGTCCCGCAAATCCGGGGAACTCGCCCAAATCCTGGGAATGGTGGAGCCGGGACCTGATCTGCAGGCCATCTGGATCCCACGCGCGGCGCCTTTGCTTGGCTGTCGGTCCCTTTTGCGCCATCGGCACCCGTAAGCTTTCTTCTGAAAGGACACGTCGAGGAATGCCCTTTGCAGCTCTAACTGGCAGCAGAGTTAACTTTGCGACGGGGCACTATGCCAAGCGCTGCAAAATCAATGAAATAAACAAATACCAATCATCACGAGACGTGGCTTCCCCTACCATCTGTGGTGACTCGATTTTTTCTTCAGCCAGATTATGAATATCAGGAGCAAAGAGTAAGCTAAACACTCCTTTAATTCCAGTCCATCCTATAACAACTCCCCATTTCCAATTATATTCATAATTCGATTGCATCAGAATAGGGCTCACTAGCACAATAGTAAGCAATCTGTGGAGAGAAAAACGTTTTTTAAAAATCATACCTTATGTTTTCATGTTAATCATGGTTGAAACTATGTACTAAATATGAAATTTCATGTAACATTTTTCAGGAAAGAGTTGTATCGATAAGCTGCTCAAACTTTCTGGAACTAACCAAATCTGCTGTCTTGCACATAATACTCAAATCTTGAAAAACAATGCTAGAAGTTCCATACGAACGTAAGGAATTGTCATTTACGCCACCATGTTCTGTTTGGATTTTGGTGGTAGATTCCCATAGGGAAACCTCTTCAAATTAGACCAACAAGCTCATCTGTTCTCTGAAAGGCCACGAAGAGAATCAAAAATTAGGCCAGAGGACATGCAGATCATGGCCAAAAAGTAAAATTAACACAGACATGTTAATAATGAGCTTAACCACGTTTTTTTGAGTGCCCACAAGAATCATATACTAAATGTCATATAGATAATTTCAATTTGTGACTTATTTCTCTGTAGATCATTTTTCTGCAGGACCTTGTGCCAAAATTTAGAATCTGTCTTTAGGAAAATCTGCACCAAGAGAATATCAGTCCTGTCCTTCAAATGAGACTTCAGTGGAAAAAAAACTGACATGTCCTCAGCCTCGAAAAATACACAGCGTATCGATTGCTAAGCTGGGGATTACATAAGACAATTTAGAGCATTTCTGTCATTGAGAAACAGAAAATGTACAACTACCATCTACAATGTAATTGATTTGGGCCAACTCCTCTGCCTTGCATCTAAACCTTTTGCAGAGTAATTCTTACCAAGCTTTTCAGCCCTACTAAATGACGCTTCTCTAAAATTCCATTGAGTCCAGCCCAGATACAACAAGTCCTGTTGTTTCCTGATATTAAAAAATGAAGAGGCAGTGTACCCAAGGCTCTAGAGTCAGCCCGCCTGGGTTCACACAGAGGCTCCTTTGACTAACTGTGTTAACTTAAGTTATTTAACCTCTCTTAGCCTCAGTTTCTTCTGTGAAACAGAGATGATGACAATAATTGTACTTGCCTCAAAGGATTACGATGAAGATTCAATTACGTGAGGCAACGTTTATAGGGCTTAGAATTGATGTTTTGAATGTGGTCCGCACTTAATCCGTTAGCAACCACTATCACGTCTAGACGTTTGTTTGACTCGTCCTCTCTGAAAGCTCAGCCTGTCTTATGGAAAGCCCGCCCACACTTTGAAGGGCCCCTTAGGATGACTCCATGAAAACCTTTCTTCCAGTGAGGTGGAGCTCTTAAGTTCACACCACATCTCTGGTACTCGCCCGTTTGAACTTGGGCGCGGTACTTTGCCTTTCTGGGTCAGTTTCTTCATCTCTAAAATAAAGATGACGATTCTCGTCTCCTAGTGTGTGAGACGAAGATGAAACGAGATGATGGGTGTGCAGCCGAGCCAAACGGCGTGCACAAAGCCACGTGCCCTTCTTCGACCGGCCTCAGCCTGCACGTGAGCTCCCGGACTGGGGAGAAACGGAAATCGTCCACGCATCCTTCCTCCATGGGAGAGCAGCTGAGTTGGACGCAGTGCCTTCCGAGTCAGCAGAAGCCACGTTCCGTGAGAATGTCTTGTAAAGTGAGCACCCTTGGCTTATCCTACGCGGAAAAGACTGTCTCAAAGACACTCATAAATGCTTACGGTAGACACAACCGCCACGCGTGGGGATTCTAGAAAAAAGCATGCTCGTGGGAGTTAAGTTTAAATCCCAGCTCGGCCCTTATAAGTTGCGTGACTCTAAGCAGCGAAACGATGAAATAATGCCGACCTCACAGGGCTGCATTAGTATTAATGGCGTAATGTACACAGCAAGTGCCTAAAAAAATTGCTTTATTGTAGCTATGGTGATAACAAATGATGACAAGATGCGAAGAGCCATTGGTTTGGTTCAGTGGTGCTCAAATTTTAACAAGCACGTTGAAACGGTGCCCTAAATGTCACCTCGGGAGAGCCAACTCAGTGAATTGGGATGGGCCCGTGAATGTGCATTTCTACCAAGCTCATGGGTCATGCCGTGCTGGGGCTCTGCCCCTTCTCATTCCACAGATGAAACCTTGCAGAGGAGACAGATACACACACAGCACTGATCATGGCACAGCACTGGTTTCCTGACTAAATGTCCAGAGCATTTTTTTTGTTTTTTTTTTTTTTGCTGTCACCCGCTGCTTCCCAATTGTAATTACGGGCTTGAGAATCTGATACTAGGAAGAAAACTTTAAAATGTAATTCTTACCTTACAAAATTCACCGTTACAAATAAGATGACCATGAAAACCACAGTGTGAAAATCAAAATACTTGGTTTCTCCACATCCAATGATAATGCCAAAAAAAGTATATATTAAATGTTGGAATACAGTCGAAAACATTTTTAGGAACCTAGGATGAATAGAAAGGAAATCACATTTTAAGCAATGTCATTTTCAAAAAGTGTCCTTTTCACATAAAAGCATATATCACATATCTGCCATTCTTGCCTTATCAGAGGTCCCTGCCTCCATCCCTGTTACAATTGACATTTAAGAGTAATTTGTTGGAACTAAAACACACCCAATTCCATATTCCCCATTACCCGCAGCGCACCAATACCCAAGGGCTGCCTCTCACAGCAGAAGAATAATGGCACAGTATAAAAATAAGAATCAGTGCCCCTAGGTTGCTGATGCGGCAGTTTTGCTGAGAGTAGCCGGCAGCATGTCAACTGG